CGAAAGATTATAACCAGCGAATGTGTAAATCGCATGGCATCGAAATGCACACTCGATGAAGAACAGAGTAGAATCTTCAGGAAGTTTTACCTAATTGAGCACAAATGAAACCTACTAGCTCAAGCTTTGCTGTGGTTCCCGAGCTATTCCGTTCCTACAACATTTATTGAGAGTCAGGTGATAGCATCAACACCAAGCTATGATAGATACCGTTACTGCCACAATCACCCGTTGTTCACAACTAGGAAAGTAAAATCCTTTTCTGGATTGGACCATTACCCAATCCTTTACGTGTATTTATATAACTAAGAAATGCTAATGACGTGGGAAAAACAATGGCAGTGTATATAAGAGTAATGTTTGTTTGGCTTTAGCAAATTTACCTCAATCGTTAATCTGCTCCTAACAGCACAAAACACGGAAAGAACCATGACAACGGTAGATGCAGCCGTGTAGAGCCTCAAAAGATTTACTCGACTGCGTCTGCAACCTTTTAACAGAAACGACAACAAAATATAAAGAACCCGAAACAAAAGAATGCGTGCATTGCAAAAAAAAAAAAGAAAAGAGGCAGAAGAGAGGGGTAAACCTAATTCTCCTATGAGTGAAGACAATAAGCCAGTAGCAGCAGATGCAATTGCAAGGGTGTTCCTCTCATCATTTTTAGTTGTTGTGAGAAATGCACACGACAGTCCAATTAGATAAATCACAGCCTGCAAACAAGAACCTGAATGATTTGAGCTAAAAGAGATACATCTCCCTTTAAAATGCTACACCAACTTTATCAACACTAGAATCTCAATGACAACAAAGTAGTTAAAGACTTGAACTAAATGCAATTTCTTCAAACCTGATCACAAAAACTACTTGTGAAACTGTACGAGTGATATACCAAACACAAATTGGTGATTCAGTATCTCCGTATAAACACTAGCAATGCATCACAAATTCTAAAAACCAGGACCAATCAAGGAACCATCTAACTCCAAAAGATTCAATTCTGACATACCTGAAGAAAGATCAAAGGACGGAGACGAGATTTCTCTTTAGTGACCTTGGTGTAACCTAAGAAGCCAAAAACGACACGCATGGATTAAGAAGAAGAAAGGGATCGAGAAAAAGGAATCGGAGAGTTGGGGGTTTTGTGAACTGACGAGAGTCAACGACCATCCGGTATGAGAAATCAGATCCATCGGTACCACTGGGTCTAGCCGCCGTTGATTTCCTCTGCTGCATCTTCTCCGATTGAAGCCGGCGTCCAGCGATCGGCTGCGTTTGGCGTCGATCTCGATCGGAGAGAGAAAGTGAGTTTTAAGGTAACGTCCACGTATCTATTAGATTTGGATATTATTGGCCATTT